GAGGATCCTCAAACATTACGCATGGTGGCCGGAGCCATTGCTAATTTATGTGGTAACGGTAAGCTCATTTACTTTTTTGTAGGAGTAGCTCCTCTGCCTGCCCCCACCACCCATCAGCTTTTCTGGGAATTGTCGGAGTAGCTCTATCAAATTCTATCTAATTCCCACTCCTAACATCAATTGATTTTAGCCCTTGAATCTTGATTGTGGTATATGTTTCTATTCCAGATAAACTACAGACAAGGCTGAGGTCTGAAGGTGGAATCAAGGCACTGTTAGGGATGGTGAGATGTAGACATCCAGACGTTCTGTCTCAAGTTGCACGGGGAATTGCAAATTTTGCAAAGTGCGAGTCCAGAGCTTCAGCTCAAGGTAAATGCCATACATGTCAATCATGTTTATCAGATTACCATGATTCTTAAGGTTTATCTTCTACTACAGGTCAGAAAGCTGGGCGTTCTTCTCTGATAGAAGATGGTGCACTTACATGGATTGTTCAAAATTCCAATAATGAAGCCTCAATGATCAGGCGTCATGTTGAACTGGCTCTCTGTCATTTGGCACAACATGGTAAGCGATCCTATATCCTACCGAAAAGTTTTAGGATACATTCATTGCATTTCTCCTCAAACTATACTTTTAAGTTTCACCTGTTCTCTTCTTATCCTCAGAGGTAAATGCAAAAGACATGATCAGTGGGGGAGCCCTATGGGAGCTAATTCGTATCTCCCGTGATTGCTCTCGAGATGACATAAGGTCTCTTGCACGTCGAACTCTGACTTCAAGTCTGACTTTCCAAGCCGAAATGCGACGCTTGAGGATAGAGTTATAGTTACCTTATTGGTTTCACTGCCAACACCTAATTCTTGAAATGCACATGCCTAATGTACATGAACCAGTTCCAGAAAAGAAACCGCTCACAATTTTGTATCGAGGGGGTGCATCTAGCAAAGTCCCTCTAGGTGAAAAGTATCAACATTAGATAGTTTCTAGTATGTAGTAGCCTATAATATATGCTATCTTACATTCTTTCATTTTTCATTAGGTTCTGGGGATAGGAATCATCCCTAAAGTGGTTGCTTAAGCTTCAAAATGTTGTAATTTGTGAGCCTGTAATTATAATATAACTAAGGAAATTTTTATGTTCGTCATTCATAATTTCTGATTGATAAAACTACTATAGGTGTTTCAATATTCACAAAGCTTTTTCTGATACACCTCTTTTGTGTCTCTTGATAATTGCTTAGAGGAAGAGAGAGTTCATGCATATTTCAATAGCAGAGTGGGTAACATGCAACACTCAGAAATCACATAGGTGTGGGACTAGTGGTGATTACGTTGGATCAAGTAATAAAATTATTGTTGTGGATGCTCTTGCCAAACATGCAATTTCGATTGAACAGGAAATCTATTTTATAATGAACACCAACTTCTCAGGAAGATAATTAGCGGTCAGCTTGTAAAAGTTCGTTTTTTGTTGTTCCTTATGGAGGCAAGGCACTCCTCTCTACTCTCCTTTTGTATCTTTTGAATATTAATAAACGAGGTAAGGCTCTATGCCTAATCCCTCATCATTCTAGGATTACTGGGCAAATGGTTTTATAAAAAAATAGTTAAATTATTAACAAAATTTTGGTATCATTAAGTGTTATTTGTGTGTGGATAATATTCATCACCATCCACCATCACTGTCATTACAATCATCGCCATTATTATCAAACTACCGAAGGGAAGAAGCTCCCACATCGGTGAAAAGGGATCTATGGGGCCGTCTTATAAGACTTGGACAATGTTATTCCCTTTGAGCTAGGTTTAGAGGTGAAAATACCGAGATAAAAGAATGTCCCGATCTAGGTATGAAATGGTGAAGCCAAAAATTCGCATGCCTGCACCGTCTAGACCATCACTAACAAACATAAATGTTTCATTTTTTTAATAAAATAATAAATTTAATTATTTTTCTAATATTTCATTATTTTTTAATTTGAATTGTTTATTAATTATGTTGACAAATAAATAAATTATGCACACTGAGATGTTGAAAATTAAATAGTTTTAATAATTCAAATTCAGAGATGGTACTCTTAATAAAAACAAAAAAGGTCTGGTTGTCTATACCTCACACTCAGCTCCAAACACTGGTTATAATTAGGGATGTCCAATGGGGGGTAGAGCTGAATTTAGACAAGTCAAATGAGCCGAATTAATAAATAAATTGACCTAAAATAGAAACAAAAAAAAAGTGGGTCATAGTAGTTACGCACAATAGTCTTACTAATTTTTAATTTCTATATTTTAGTACCTAATAAGACTATTTTTGTTCTTTATAGTAGGCTATAGCTACAATCATATATCAAAAAAGCATAAAGAAAAATATTTTGAGAAGATTTTTTATGGATAAATTTGGACGGTATATTAACCTAATTTTTAAATTGACTGATATAGATTGGCTAAAACGGATTGAGATAAATAAATGGATGAATCAACTTGTAAGTGCTAATTTTATCCCCCTTCTCTTAATCTTTTGGAACATGTTGGCATGTTGCCTAGCCTCCTTACTTTGCAAAAAGAATGAACATTTTCAACTTAAAAAGATCATTTTCAGAATATCTCGAGTTTTAATAGCACTTTTTCTGCCGTATGAAAAAAATGTGTTTTTGTCGCTCGAAATATTCCAACCTTTTACTTTTGCCACAGGATAATTAAATATGCTTTAATTAGTTACTTGAATAGTACTCTCTCCGTCCACTTTTAATTGTCATGATTTCCTTTTTTAGAATCAAACAATAAGAATTTTGATTAACATTTTATGATGTATTTTTAATCATATTGATATGCATAAAAATGCAATATATAGTACTTTTCGTATAGTATTTGAATATCTATTTTTTTGTTTAAAAAAATATCGATTTAATGTAATCTAATTTAACATTGAAAAATAGTCAAACTGACTCTCGAAAAGCGCAACATGACAATTAAAAATGGACAGAGGGAGTATATGTTTCGATATTGATAAGCTCCTTCCCAAAGATGCACTAGAAGAGACTTGTGTGCAACAAATAAGTGAATTTTCATGCCTATATATAGTAACTGTGATGAATGCCATGATCACTTGTTCTTTCAATGCAGATTATATTCTCGAACCCACAACCTTAGAGTTGGAGATGGAGGATGCATAATTATCACTTGAACAACCCATATATATATATCACTGCATACAACTTTAAAACTGAAATCAACATGTTAAAATTCACACTAGCCGTAGGTGTATTTATGTTAACCGTTGTATACAGATGAGGAGATGAAGGATTTATGAGACTGAATGCAGTGAACCATATATGCATGTACACTTAAGTTTAAGCCCATCACTTTATGTTACTTCTATTGGATGACTCAAACATATTCACTCTCAAGTTAATTAATATCTTCATCACAAGCTTAAGAGTAAATGACTGAAATTGAAATATAGTTATTGGACTAAAATAATTTAAAGATACAATCTTTTACACATATACTGGAATATTATTCGTTTTGAGTCAAGCCTAGGATTTTCACCATAAGACTTCACACCATTAAAACTATCTAATATCTTATATGTAGTCTAATTTCACACACTATATAGTCTTAGCTCCAAAATGTGGAGAGTAATTCCAATATTTTGAGTCAAACATATATATATAAACCGAAGATTGTCCAAGACCTTATAAAACTAACCTTACCATCTCATAGTTGATATGAGAACTCAATACCTCAACGCATTCATGTACTAACTAAAGCGGGAATAATATAATATGAACTAAATATTAAATTAAATATAACTATAATATTTTTTAATGTAGTTTTACAAGTGAGGTATGCAGCGAATAGAATACATACGTACATCTTACAAGCTGTTCCCAAAAATTTCTCAACTCAAAGAACGCAAAAACACAACATAATATTCAACTTCAAATGAGTCTAACTCTAAAATCACAATAAATATATAAATTACGAAGTTAACTCAAACCTCAAAAGCTCGCTCACGAAAATAGAAAATAATGAATGGGGTATGGAGGCATGAAGGGGAGTACTAGTTGAGGTAAAAGAGCAGAAGTTGTTGGTGGTACCTGTGGGAGTACCTTAGTATGGAAGTGAAAGCATTAGTTGCCTCGAAAAGGAGCTAAGTTCAGAGAAGTGCACGTGTAAACCCCACTACCTAATGTTCACTTCATAGTATTAACCCTAAATATATAGTATTCACTCGAAAAAACCAATCATTCAAACCCCATACCTCTCCTGCATTTTCTTACCTTTTCTTTCTTCTATTTAAATCATTTGTACTCTCAATTCTCATGCTCCATAAAGTTAATTCATCCATAACTATCATCACTTCTAGCTCCCCCGGACAAGAAAAATATGAAACAGGATATACTCAATAACGTTTTAATTTATTTGTCTGATTTTATGATCTTACAGTACTAAAGGTACATGAATGTATCAAAATATATGTCATTTAATATATCTAAATGAATTTTAAAAGAAATTATTAGTAAGATAGATAAATTAAAATGAAAGAATATATATAATGATTTAAAGAAACATCGAACCTGAACTATGGAGAGGCTTTTTGCTTCTGCAGCAAGCGAAAGATTGATAATTATCCAAGACAACTTGAGGAAAAACTCATGCCCTCTTTTGTTAACATTTTTTTATGCTACCATTCACATAAAATAAAGAAGAAAAAGAAAACCACAAATGATACTTGAAATCTCACATCCTTCACTAAATGACTAATAAGTAGCAACGATAACAACATATTCAGTATAACCTTACAAAGTTGAGTCAGAAAAGGATGATGTGTACGCAACCTCACAAGCCAGACTAACACTTAAAAGAAGTAGAAGAAGTAAAGATGGTTAATAGGAAAGAAGTTGTAGTTTTGGAATTTGGAAATCATGTTCCAAGATTAACAAAATGCAAATTAAAGAGAAAAAAAAGAAGAAAAGAGGACAGCTAGTTTTGAAGTCAATTCCCAATTATTATTTTAATTTTAATCAATAAGGAGGACGACCTCCTGCTCCCCAATAAGCCTCAGTTGGTGGTAATTGACATGAATTTAGTAGATTTTGAGGCAATCCTTGTAGTAAATTAGCATTTGGATCAGTACCCATAATTTGTTGTGCTGCTGCACCTTGATTAGTACTTACTATACCACTACTTGTTGGTAAATTTCCTCCATTTCCTTGCTGCCCCACCGGTGATTCTTCGTCCTCAAGTGGAAGCCTTTCATATGCTGCATTCCCAAACGAAGCCGCCATTATCACCACCGGCCCTGAAGCACTCAACGGCCCGACAACGCTACCGCCAATTACTTGGCCTTGTCCTCCGGCCAAGTATATCGTCAGCCCTGATGCGGCTGGCGGAGCTGGCGGTGGTAAGTATGAACCGGAAAGAGATAAGATTTCAAATCTTCCATGTAGAGTTACCACCGCACCCGGAGACGCGGGTTGTCTGTCAGTTAAAAAATTAAAGTAAGAATACATATCACACACAGTACTGAATTTGATGCAAATTAAAAAAAAAAGAAAAAATTAAATATTACCTAATTGTAACGTTTGTAACAGTTCCGCTCCCACTTAATATGCAAACACCGCGTTGTCTTCTGGTGGCGAAGTTTGAGATACTTTCTTGTATATCACAACCACTAGCGATTTCCATAACATGAGATCTCAAAGCGTTAGCGCTATCACGAGTGATAATGATTGGTGGTTTTGGTTTGTTTTTTGAACCAGCTGGTCTTCCTCTTGGTCTTCTACTGACTTCTCCACCGCCATCTCCTCCTCCTCCTCCAATAGTGTTTCCTTTGCTATCCATCGAACCGGATTGATCAGGATTTAAACTGAAGTTATCGTCACGATCTCGTTTCTGATTTCTGTGTCCGCTTTGTTGTTCGTCTTCAGTTTTCTGCTGTTGCTGTTGTTGTATGTGATGGAACTGGCCGTGGAGGTGAGGATTGTTATTCTGCAACTGAAGATCTCTTGTGTGAAAAGGAGGTGGAAGAGGACGGCCATGAGCTGCTAATTGATCCATCTAACCTTGTATTTGAATTTACTTTCTAGCTATGAAATTGATGGAATTAGTTCTAACCTTCACCAAAAAAGAGTTGGAAAGGGAAAGTAATGAAGTGAGAAACCAAAAAGGATTCAGGAGAAATAAGTGAATCAACCATACTACAATCCTTTGTTTGTTGATCTTCTTTCCTTTCTCTTTTGGTGAGGGTTTGGGGAAAATGAAGAAAGAGAGAAGAGAGAAATAGGTGTAGCTAGAGAGAATGAGTTGGAGGAATTTGATACTTTTGTGTTTTGTAGTAGTAATTGGGTTAAGGTTAGGTAGAGGGGGTGGGATGGGGGTGATGAACCGGTGAAAGGGGTGTGTAGTTGGATGGATGATGAGTTCGGTTTTTGGTGAGACAGACAGCGTGCGTATGGGCGGTGGGAGCATGGGGCCCACATCTCCCCTGCTTTCTCTCACCTTTGTCTCTTTAATTTTTTGGATGGCTGGGGAGAGCTTTCATCAAATCTCTATAAACAATATGTTGTAAAATGGCTTTTTACCTCCCCTCCTCTCCTTTTTGCATGTCCATTGTCGACATAATTAGTTTTTCTTTTCTTGTGCTTACATTGCTACATAAGTATTTTTTTTTCACTTATCATAATTAATATAAAAATATATTTGATTAGTTGATTGTACATAGTATTCCTAAATATTGAAATTAATTTATACGTAAGTTAAAAAACATGAATAATTACAAGTGATCAATTTATGACTTTAAACTGAGTTTGACTTATAAAAACACTTAAATATTCATAATAAACGTAGATAAACTTACACAAACAACATCATATTAATTGTGATTAGTGCAAATATGATTGTTTAGAGTTCGAGTAATTATAATTGGTGGTATAGGGAGGAGTTGTTGAGAAGCGTTACGAAAAAATTGGACCCGGAATTCACGTAGAGAGTAAGTGACATAACGAGCTTAGGGAGAAGAGGAAGAGAAGGAGAATCAACTCACGTATTCTTTCTCCGTTTCATTTTACTTTACCTTTAAAATTAAAAATATATTTCATCTTATTCATCAATTTTAACAAATTAAGATAGCTTTTTTCTTTTATCTTAATACCTTTAGTATTAAATAACTAAATAAAATAAACCTAGATTCAAAATTTTATAACATTAATTAATATCTCAAATCAACCGAGGCCAAATAATATAAAATTAATTTTACTGGAGTGTTCTTGATGATAAAGAGAGCAAGGACAAACAGAAGAGAGTGTGCGTGTGCATGTATTTGGCTGCTCCCCCAGAAGACACGGTCTGATCATCTTGGGTGGCTTTATTGTTTTGGGGAATGAGTATTGCCTCTTTTTCCCTCATCAAGTCCCACCCTTTTTCATTTTATTTTATGTCTATTTATGTAAATATTTTTAGATAGGGATGTTTATTTCAAATCATTTTTACTTCACTATCTCTTTTATTTTACATAAAAATAACGTCTTTCATTCTAGCTACATCAATATTGTTAAAAATAAATGGAATTTTCTTTTTAGTGAAGTATGCATAAATTGACTTAAATACTATAGAAAGTAAAATATAGCGATGCAACTAGTATCTTAATTTCTATTTGCTAGTTGAAAAATGCTTCTTTACGAAAAGAATAAATAAAAAAATACGTAATCCTTCAAAAGAATATTTAAACAAGAGGAATTTTAAAATCTGCAAATTAAGTCAAGATTAGTCAATACTCATATAACTAGGGTCTAGGAGTAAATTAATGATAAATGAACAAAAGTGAGTAATTAATGAATCCATCGAAATTTATAATGTCGAAAAATGCACTAATCATTTACCGTGTGTCAAAATGAACCCTTTTTTCTAACAACATTTACCTACTTAACGAAAATCACGAAGAAAAATAAAGATACATTTCTACGTCATATTATTTAGTGTAAGAATAAAATTAATCTCATATTAATAGCTTGAAAAATTACTGACTTGACTCAAATTAAATAATATTAATAACACCATGTTAAAAGTATAGTAAAGTATTAATTTAGCAACAACTACAAACAATCACATTAAGAATTCACAAGAGCGATATAATATTAAGATAATTATGATTAATTACTCACACACACAATTAAATTAAAAGGTTTGGGATGGTTCGTAAAATATTACTACTCCTATATGATTTGCTGTCATTCTATAGTTTATTAGCTCCCTTCAAAATGAGAACTTTTATCCATTACTAATAACTTAATCTTTTATATGGATATTTTTCTAACATACTCTAATAATGATACTTGCGTACGGTCATTTTAAAATAGTGTCACCTTAATTTATCACTTACTTCAAAATTAAAGATTTAGTTTATAAAATTAGAAGAATGAATAATATACTAGTGATGTGGCAACTAAGCAAATCAGTATATATAGTCAAAAGTGGAATGATAGAGTGTAAATTTCGGCCTTCTAGTGACAGGGACAGGGAGTGGGGGATATATTTTCAATGCAAAAAAAAAAGAGAGGAGTTTGAGGTGAGATATTAATTCAATTGGTCAAAGGGAATTAGTGACTATTGGAAATAGGAAATTAAACCAACAAGAGTGGGTTGCACTGACATATCTAAGTCTTTTGCCACCAACAACACCCGCCCGCCCTGCTACCTACTCGTGCTTCTCTGTTCTGCCATTTATACCTAATGCAAATTTTGTTCTAACACACCAACCAACATCCACAAATCAAACATTTATGCAATTATTCTTTATCGTCATTTTGCGATAGCAGTTAACTTTTTTTAAAATAGAGTTAAAAGATGAGTGAATTATGATCGATCAGACTATGATTCATTTTTATTATCAAGGCTTGATAGTGGTGTACCGAAGGGAAGAGATCCGGTGGTCACTCAATCATAGATTAGTCCTTGTGAGAGTACTTTTGAATATTTATTTATTTAAATACAACATAAACGAGTGTCATATTATAGACGCAATATTGTTCGACTTGTAACACAACCCATGAGTATTGTGAGAGTACTTTTGAATAATTTTACTGATTGATCAGTCAAAAACAGTGAAAATGGTCGCACCTGTTATCAAAAGTTATATCTTCATCTTTTAACCGGTCATCATTAATTTTATAGAGTTAGAGTCCGTTTGGATTGACTTTACAAAAGTACTCCCTCCGTCCCTATTTACTTGTCCATATTTCCTTTTTTAGATGTCCTTATTTAGTTGTCTATTTTGACAAATCAAGAAAGGACAACAAATTTTTTCCTATTATACCCTTATTTACACTTCTTGAAAATTGTAAAAGTGTATGTTGTTTCCCTTCAATTTATTTCACTTGAATTCAAATAAGTGGTTGTAATTTTGAAGTGAAAAGTTGTCATAAGAGTAAAATTGTAACTTCACTGTGCTAATCATTGTTGCCTTAATCTGTGTGCCATTTCTAAAGTGGACAACTAAAAAGGGACGGAGGGAGTAGCTTTTAAATGAAAAATAAAAAGTCAAATATAAATGATTTTTAAGTCAAAACATAAAGAGTAAAGGGAGACCTACTTTTGTGTTTTAAGTCATTTTAAACTTATTTTAAGTTGTTTCTAACCTTGCCAAACACTTCATAACTTATTTTTAAATCATTTTACTTATTTTAAGTTATTTTTATATTTGTCAAACATTTTCAGAAGTCAAAAACTGACTTGAAAGTAGGTTTGACTAATTTTTAAGTCAATCCAAATACCCTCTTAGTGTTGATTTGTATTTTAAAATGAAAATATTAAGGTGTATAAAATATTAATGGACATAAATTGTATTATTATTATTTATAATTTATGTAATCACTATGACGTGTTAATTTTTAATCTCCTATTAAACATCTCACTACAAATACTTTAAATTAATTCACTTTCATGACATTTAGTTGTGGAAGAAATGGGGTGTATAAAGGATGTTTTGATTCTCGTGTTGAGTAAATAAGAAGGATGAAAAGTCTTATGTTGTGAATAAAGGAAAAATTAGAGAAATCTCACCTTTTAGTTTACTTATTACCATTATCCCCTATAAGTTTTATAAATCTCCAAAATTCCTTATTTTTGCGCATCAAATTAGTGTATCAGCGCTTATATTATTATATCTCGCGCATCAGATTAATGTATCAGAGCTATATAAGTGTTGATACATGCGCGAGATACAATAATATAAGCGCTGATACATTAATCTGATGCGCGAGATACAATAATATAAGCGCTGATACATTAATTTGATGCGCGAGATACAATAATATAAGCGTTGATACACTAATCTGATACGCGAAAATGAGGGATTTCTGTAATTATAAACTTTTAAGGGATAAATTATAATTTTGCCTTAAAAGTATGTGATTTCTGTAATTTGCCCAAAAAAAAAATATCTATTGTATTTGTAATTTAAGGTTGATGCAGTAAACGAGAGAGCAAGAAAGAAAAATATTACTAAATTTCAACTAATATATATTTATATATATTTTTTATATATTAGAAGAGAGAGTTTCAAAGGCTGCTTATTGGTCATTCAATTGGCAAGTGGGGATATTTGTCATTCCAACTTCTCAAAGTGATAAGTATTGCATAGAAAAAATTGTACTATGAGCCTTATTATTTTGACCTTCTTAACATCTTTAGAAAAAATCCTACACTTTTCTACTAAATTACATATTATGTCTTCTATCATTGAGTATAGTGGGATCCATTTAATTTTACAATTGACACCTATACAATGATAACTTTATTGAGTTTCTATATATTTCCATTTTTATTCTCTACATATTAAAATGTTTAAATTTAATATAGTTAAATAATTTAATAAAATTTTATTATTTAGCTTTTATATTCAAAACAAATTATTTTTTAATATTATATATATATCATTAAATAACTATATAAGATTATTAATAGTCATATTTATATTTTTAAAGTATAATTAATAAAATTATTTTTTTAAAATAAACTCCTAATAAATAATTTATTAAGAAAAACGTCAAATTAATTTAAATTATTTCTTTTACTTATACTTTACTTTACTTTACTTTTACTTACTTATATAGAAGAGACAGCAAGATGACTGATTTTTGACATCTTTATAAAAGAATAAGGGTCTTTTGGTCATTTACGCTACGAAACTCATCAATAAAGGCTGCATATGTGTCTTAATACTGCTTTGGAAGAGACACGTAGCAATGCTGCCAAACTGATTTGCATTTAGAACATTCTATGAGAGTTTATGCTCTGT